CCCCCCTCCAAGCCTATGTGGAAACAGCTACAGAGAGAGAGACAAACTCAAGTCCTCCAGGTACTGAACTCTCCAGGACTCTTGAGAGAATCCCCATTGGCAGCTAAAGCCTGGAAAAAGATTTTTTTAAATCCTTCTTAAAAATAAAGAGGCAGCTGAAAGTAGTGACGATCTCCCTGCGAGAGTTGTAGCAGAATGGCTTTCAAAGAGAGAGAATACAGTCAATGGCTGGGGGAGAGGGGGTGGGCAAAGGAGGCAGCCAATTAGAGTGGAGCTTGAAGCAAGGGCGGAGGTAGAGGAAGACCGGAGTTTTTGCAATCTCATAAACTGTCTTCTGTTGACAACCCCGCCCCCCGCCCCCAACTAAGCATGCAGCTCAAGATTCCACGTGTGCATAAGCACCTCCTCTACCCTCGACCAGAGTGTTTGCAGTGTCATTGTGTCAAGGACTGGGCTGTTTCCTACCCTTCCTCTCTCTCCAGCCTCCGTATGCAATAAGAAAGAATTCCAATTTTCCCCTCCCCCCCCCCAGCCTGGCTTTTGTTGTTGTTTTGCTGTGTCATTCAGACATTACAGAGGTGTGCTTGCTAACTGGTGATTTCAGGGCTATATCCAACAGGGGAATCCTCCCAAGGAATCCCTCAAAGAGCGGTAGGTGAAATTAGTTTTTTGGAGGTGTCTGTCTGTGTGCTAAGTCTCTCCCCTCCTCCCCCTGTACCAAAGCAGCACATACCTCTCCTCACTATTCCTCTCTGCAGGTTCTATATGAATGGGAATAAAGGATAAGGAACTGAAATAAACAAAGCGGCTGCCAGGTTGTGGGCAGGCCCCCCCCCCTCCTCCCAGTGTACCCAAGTCAGTCTCTCTCCCTTCAGTGTGAAGTGAAATAAATCTTCAGGAAATAAATCATAAGGAATTGCAATAAACAAAAACACTGGTTCTGCAGTGTGTGCCATAGTACAGAGGCTTCCTCTAGAGAACCCCAGCCTTCTTGGAGAGGTCAGGGGGAGTGTCCCGAGGTGGCAGGGGCGATCTGGGGGCAGCAGGAGCTGTTTTGGCAATTTTGGGGTATGCCAACCCTGCTAATAGACCACCCCAAGCGGCACTTTGTTTCATTACGCAGTATCGATTGACCCCCAGTGGTCTCATCTCAACGATGTGGACCTCTGGGCACCATTTTTGGGGTGATTTGGGGTACCCCAAATGTTTCAATTTTGGGGGTGCCCTCAGGCATCCTGCCTTCTAGGAGAGGTCAGGGGGAGTGTCCTGAGGTGGCAGAGGCAGTTTGGGGGCAGCAGGAGCTGTTTTGACAATTTTGGGGCGTGCCAACCCTGTGAGGTAGACCACCCCAAGCAGTGCTTTGTTACATTTCAGGGTATTGAGTGACCCCTCAGTGGTCTCATCTCGATGAGGTGGACCTCTGGGCACCATTTTTGGGGCAATCAGAGATACCCCAATTGTTTCCATTTTTGGGGTTCCCTCTGGCGCCCTGCCTTCTAGGAGAGGTCAGGCGGAGTGTCCTGAGGGGGAAGGGGTGATTTGAGGGTGGCAGGAGCTGTTTTGGCAAATTTTGGGTACACCAACCCTGCAAGATAGACCACCCCAAGCAGCACTTTGTTTCATTTCGGGGTACCGAGTGACCCCTCTATCAAAATGTCTTGGGAAGGTGGACCTCTCGGCACTGATTTTGGGGTGGTCAGGTGGACCCCAAAATTTTCTGTTTTGGCGCACCCTCCTCCATCACGCAGGGGAGTGTCTGGCAACATTTAAACACGCCAATAAGCACTGGAAGGCTTGGCAGGGGGTTATCTTTAAAATGGGAGAGACAGGCACCATTCTGCAGGTGGCCTGCTGCTGCTGTTGCTGGTTCCCCTATGCCATGGAAGAGCCAATGTATGAAGAATTGCATGCTGCACATGATGTCACCTGCAATGAGGATGTACA